TCCTATACAAATTGAAGAAGTATATCAAGACCAAGAGCTAGATTTAGATCTAATCGTGGATTTGACAATACATTTTGATCAACCATCGTTAACAAGATGAACTGACCCATTGAATTTGTAGATGCATCAATCATTGGTCAAGACTCAAGTAGACGATCAAGTCAAAACCCTCGTGTCATCCAAAATTAAATATCCTTGAAGTAATAAAATTAAGAAGGATATAATTGTATCATAATAAACCCAACTTTGGGTTTATTAATTTCTAATTTAGAGAACGTACTTTCAACCCTTAATGTTGTGGTTTGAAACACTTTACAAATAAATTTAAAGATCCAGTCACATGTTAAACATTTAACCGATTATTAATTATATATTAAGGTGAAATTTTTGTAATAAATTTACTACTTTTTAATTAATTTTGTTTATTCTTCAATTATTCATCTCTTTTTTTTTTCTTTAAGAACATGAATTGAAGAACAAGATACACCAAGTTTAATGAAGAAAACCTAAACCAAATCCAAACCATACTTCCAATCGAAATAAAAACCAATTCATCTCAAAATATCAAACTCTAAAAATTTCCTATAAAAATCAACATCTTTGTTTGGCGGGCTTTACTCAATCGACTTCCGGTTCGTATTACTTTAAGTGATCACAACATAAATTTTCATTCAATTTTATGTCCAATTCGTAATGAATCGGAGGAAATGTTAGATCATTGTATTTTGTGATTCAAGTTTGCTTTAGGAATTTGGGAATTACTGCAGAGATGGTACATGGGCTCTTGACAGCAACATGGGAAACAAGTTACTGTGCAATATAGTAAATCATCCTGAAAGCGATTTTTCGCGGCAAGTTGCTTTCAAAAGAGGTTTTATTTGCAAAAATAAGAGGTCAAGTGTTTAATTGGATTTCGAGACGCACAAGGAGTCTTTGAATCGGGAGCATTGGATCGTAGGGTCGCATCATACTTATTCCATCTTATAATTTAAATTGGCTATTTTTCCGTTTTTCGAGTTTGGTTCGCCTCTATGGTCTTTGTTTTGTATTTTCTTCATTAGTTTCTGTTTTGTTTTCTTTCTTGTTTTCTTTGGCCTTTGCACCTTGCAATGCCCTGCCCTGTATTTCGTTAACTTTTTTGCTCAATAATATTGTTTTCTTTCCAAAAAGTAACGTTGGAATGCATAATGGTTTAAGGTAGACGATGAAGATATTGGTTGCGGACTTGTAGTAATAAAAAAAAAATATACGCCTTTGCAACTTAATTGGCAAAAGGATGGGGCGGTGACTTTGTGCAAATACAAGACAGATTCCGGGTTCGATCCTAGGGCACCGATTAGCCTCTAAGTGAGTCAAAAAATGTCCCTCATATTGGTTCATTGAAGACAAGTTTCGTGTGGGGTCGATTAGGATGGTTGATAATCAACTTTTTAACCCAAATAAAAGAAAATCCATTAACACAAGGAGGTTGGCGGTATGGAAAGCTAAAACTTTGTCTTTCGACGACAGATTAACCTTGGTTAAATCCGTGTTGGGCAGCCTTCCTCTGTACTTCTTTCGATGTTCCGTGCATAATCGGGTGTGATAAACACCATTGAGAGAGCGAGACAAGAGTTCTTTTAAGGAGGCTCGGGAGGTGGGGAAATTGGTTTGATCTGTTAGGTGGGTTAGGCATAGGGAGTCTCTCAGCAATGAACTATGCTCTGTTAGGGAAATAGTGGTTGAGATTCAAATAAAAAAAACTCTTTGTGGATCAGAACTATCGGTAGTTTGTATGGGGTAGACGGGGATTTAGTATTATGCCCATGTTGCAAAGAGGCATCTTAGACTTTGGATCACGACTTTGCAAGGTGTAAGAAAGTTAGAGTGATTTGGGATCTGATTTGCAAGTGGTGGGGGCTTGATACCGACTTCGGAAACACGATAGAGGAAATCTTAAACTCTCAAGGACCTCCTTCTTTCTCGCCTTGGTTGAAAATCATTTGGCAAGCGACAATTTAGGCCACGTGTTACCTCTTATAGGATCACCGTAATAACATTGTTTTTCGAAAAAAAGTCTTCCGCGGGAGCTCATATTCGTGGATTTGCAGGTTTTTTTTTTTTTTTTTTGAATAGGTCTCCAGAAGACTTAGGAAAGGAACCATTGAATAGGGGTATTGGTTGTTTTGATTTCTTATTTTGCAGTTGTAGTTTTGTATTAGGGGCTTTCCTCTGTTGTTTCTTGGCCCCCTTCTTTTTACTGCATCTCACAGTTTTCACCCTCGGTGTCTTCAGGAGTTGGGAAGGGCCCTCTATTATGTACCCTTTTTGCTTCGCTTCGCTTAATATATGTTGCCTTCAAAAAAAGTCTAGAAAAATACCTTCAGATGAATAATTAAAGATAAGACTGAAATTAAAAGATAAAAATTAAAAATTATTTAATATCTATACATAGAATAGAAAGGAAATTTTCAATGTCATATTCGATAACAACTTAAAGGTCATTAAATTCCTAAATTATTTACAAAGTTTGCACAAGATAACAAAAAAAGGAAAATTAATTCCTAAAACAAAAATAAACTCATAATTATTTTTTTTATTATAATACACCCAACCCTTTAATGACTTCTTAATTATATCACACGTGTGTCAATCAAGATGTCCCTTATTTTAATACGTGTATGGGTTCTGATTTGTCCATCCATAGCTCATGAATTATATACATGACACGTGTCTCGATCGGAATCTCCCTTACGTTTCTAGAAAGGGGCCTATCTACACTACTACTACTACTACTAAACACCCCCTATTTTATTACTAGTAATAATTATTATTTTTTTATTAAATTAATCAACCAACTTTTTACTTTATTTTTAATACTAATATCTTTTTAATTGAAAAAGCCACTGATTTTTATGTTAATATTAATAATAATAAATAGTACGATTATTCAATAAATTTGTCTGAAAATAAAAAATAAAGAAATTGATAGTAAAGTAAGAAAGTGAAAGGAGAGATGGAAAAAAGGAACAAAATTATTGCCCATGGTTTTGAAGGGTAACTCCATGTGCTATCCAAATTCAGAGTACACAACCTTCCTTCATTATATTTATTGCCAATTATATTTATATGGTTTTTAAAACAATTTATATTAACTCATATTTATTCATTTTATAAAAATTTAATGAAGCTCAGCTGTTATATTCATATTTGTACTCGGAGTTCAAATTTTTTATGTATTCGAACATGTTATATGTAACTCAGATGATGAAGGGGTAGACAAACTTTATTCAAATACATATAACGAGTTCGAGTTTGAACTCTTTTGCTAGTCTATGTTGTTAAGTAGTTCTTAAATGTCTCCTTATATGTGGTTTATAGGAGGCGTGTTCGAGTGGGATCAGTCGGGATACGACATATATAAACCATTTAGTATAAATCGTTGCTTCATTAAGACCTATGATTTGTTAAGACCTTTTGCTTGAACGTATTTAATTCTTTTTATCTTCTTATAATCGAGTGTGTATATATTGAGTTAAAACTTTAAGAAATACAGATTTAGTTAGTCGAATGACTTAACGGATTAAGTTATATGATTGTAAAAAGAGTTTCATATGTTAATTTTCTTTCTAGAAGTCTATGTTTTTAATAATAAATAATCAAAATAAAATCAAAAAACAAGTTACAACTATATTTAGTAATTCATACCTATATACGTACGATTATATACCATTGCAAGTTATACTTTGTTTAGAACTTAAATTTCATATTTTTCTTTTCTAATAAAAAAAACTACATTAATTTTATTATTGATTTTCGAGAAAATTTATATTTGATTGTATCACACGTATACATACGTTTTCTAGAATTTATTTATTGGTGTCAAAATAGGATCGCAGGATAGTGACCCTTTGTCCCAGCCATTGTAGCACGTGTATCGTCCAGAATCCAATGTACAAAAAATGCATGTTGGGTCTTTGAAACAGTTATATATGTGTGTGATACAATCAAATATAAATTTTCTTGAAAATCAATGATAAAATCAATGTAGTTTTTCTATTAGAAAAGAAAAATATGAAATTTAAGTTCTAAACAAAGTATAACTTGCAATG